GGATCTGTTTACAAAACCCCAAAACCCCAAAACCCCAAAACCCCGCTTTAAAAAAATTGTATTAGTATTTTAGAAATTATTAATAACAAATAAAGCTTATTAGATAACGGTTAAGCATTATCTGCTCCTTTTCAAATTCATTTTTTGGCTTTTTTGTAAACAGATCCCCTAAAGTTTTCTCTCATTTGCTCTAAGTTTCCAAAATTAGGATTGAGTCTGTTGTTATTGTAAACCCCAACAGCTTATAAGTCATGATCCATTGCATAATAATGATTAGGATTTTTCTTTAATAATTTAGCACATTTACATTTTTTATTTCCACAATAGAAACAAAAACTAGTTCCGCATCTACAGTGCATTATCTATATAAATTTGCTGTGTCTTTTAACCCAATAGTTACATTTAGGGCATTTCTTTTATTGAACATTAACATCTTTAAATGGATTGCCAATGTTCATTTAATCGCATTCTTTACCAAAATGAAAATCTTTTTTACATTTGAGGCAATACACGGCTTCACAAACTGGGCATTCAAATTTAGGATTCCAAGCTTAATTTCTGTTTACTTTAGGTATCTTAATGACGAATGGACATCCTACAGTAGGGCAGCATCCAAATGAAATATTAGGGTCGTTCTGAATCTTGTTTAGATACTTTTCTACATCTTCCTTAATGATTTCTTACTCGCATTTGGAATAGGGGCATTGGAATATTGGAATTTCACTAGTCAACTTTACTTAATGGAGATATTGTGCAACACATTCTTGATGGAAAAGATGCTGGCATTTCTTCAGGGAAACTAACTCATACTCAGGTTTGTTATTATAGGATTAATCCACATAAGGCAAGTAGCATATCTAACATACATCTTAATTGAGTTCTTAGTTTTAATTTTATCTAGCTTAATTCTCATAAGCCTCAGCTTCTTTTTTGAATTCTTCCTCTAACTTTTTTGCTATTTCAATATCAGAAATTTGCTACTTTTTCTCCTCTTCTAGTTAAACAAATGCCTAATTCTATTCCAATACTTAATCTGGTAGAGGGAATACTACAGGTAGAATCTAAGGTTATTAGAACTACTATTGCACCTCATTCATTCGCTATTTTTCTTGCATCAAAAGAGTCTCTAGATGATTTCTGGCGAATTCTGATCGATCATATTCTTATTTGTAAAAGCAATCAGAGTCACCTCCAATGTACTCATATATCTTTGGGTCTAAAGATGATAACTCTTTTTTAATTAACTTTTCTTGTTACTGGTACTCTAATTAATTTGGAGTTTGATTTTATTCAGATAAAGTCTAGGCAATTTATTAATTTATGGCGTCTATATCCATAAAACCTGTATCTAGAAGGATTTCTTATTCAATTTGGCTTTTCTTATCAGAATCGCTAACTTTATTTAAATCTAAGAGCAGCCTAGTTGCCTATTCAATATTGATTTAAGCATGAGACCTACCGACAAGAAGGCCAATCATGAAGACCTAGAATTAACTAAGCACTTCTGTTGTGTCTTCGAATAATACTCTTAAGTCTTATACATTTGGGGGCTCTTAATTAGTTAAAATTTGATTTTCATTCAGCATTTGGCTCCTATTGAATTAATCAAATTGCATACTGCAATTCATTGGATATGACTCTTATTGGTATTGAGGCTATTAAATTTGGATATTATTCATAGTATTAGCTGCTTTAAGTTAATGAGAAGCTTCCTCTATCTTTGAAATGTCGCCTGCCATCTATTAATAGAATTAGCTTTGATCGACAATAGTTCCAACTCTATAGTTTTACTTGAAATCTTCCATTTAGAATGTAAGTTTTAATATTTTTAAATATAATACACATCAATCCAGATGTCTTTTCATGGGGTTTTGGGGTTTTGGGGTTTTGGGGTTTTGGGG